CCCCCCAAAGCCACCTTAACCCCCCTTCCTCACTCTCCCTTCCTCATCCCCCCCTCCTAATTCCCAACCCCATATATACAATTCACACATCCACACCCACACCCAGATACCCAGATACCCACACACCCACAACACCTATCCATACCTACCCCATAAATACCCCTCCCTCCCCTTTCAAAAGACTCCCATCCCTACCACTCCCTTCAATCTACCTTCACTCATCATCTATCTCCCTCACAACTCACTCGTAACAAATCCACAAGATACACCATCCACTAACCGAACAATACTTGTACTCAATACTCATAAGCCACACTCAAAGAACGCTTGAAAGCTTTGATAGGTCTAGACACTTCATACACAGGCTTCTCATACGGAATATCATGTCCCATAATACTGCATCTCTCCACTCCTCTATTCTTCATGTATCTGTATTAGTAGAGGAGTATCCCTTAGGGGGATACTCCTCAAGCAATACAACATGGGTTCCACTCACTTTACTTTTAGACATCCCATAGGTGACTCTGAGTACGAATATTTTAATCAAGCTCGCAATCAATTACTTCAACAGTAGAGAAAAAAAGTAATTCAATTGTTCTTTTTATCTCCCCCATCCGTATTTCCTCGTTGTTTTTCTCATTACGTGAATATTAATACTGTGGTGCACTACCACTATAGTAGTGGTACGCCAATGCATGCATAATAGACGTTTCTCAAACTAAAAGTATCAAGAACAAGGTTGGAGTACACCGAACCTTGAAAACCGGAAAACCCCATACCCCCGTACCATGAATGCTATCCCAGCACGAAATAGCGATGTCGAACGAAAAGAAAAAGCAAACGCATTTGCCAAGGTTTAAGCTTGCTACCAAGTGCCGAAGAAGCAGTACGCATCAGTGAGTAATCAAGTGAAGTTTGCCCCTGACCGAGCAAGTCCCCCCTTCTCAGGAAGAGATGAGGGTAATGGCTTAAGCACCCTCATCCTCAAGTCTGACACTACCCTCCTGACCAATTCCAGAACTCCACCATCCCTCAATAGCAGGTGCTTTTCGGTGTGCAAAAAGCAACCAGAAGCCAAATACGGGCTTAGCAAGCACATCAAGGATAGCGTACGCAACAATCTCTACGTCAACACTCCACTTTCTTGCTCCATCCCCAATACCCCAGACAATAGGATACAAAGTCCAAAGCACAAAGGTGAAAAGTCCGAGAGAATTGAAGAGACTGCTAGTGCTTCGATCCTTGGATGAAATAGCACGACGTCCACCGACAGCCAGTTGGTAGACGATAACGAGATAGGCGGCACATGCCATAGCGTAGTATCCCCATTTCTGACCGTCTGAGCTGCCGAAGGCGGCAAATAGGCCAAGAAGAACCATGATGAGATCAGCAACTATGGTAACGATGATACTGGCTCCGTCGAGACCGGCAAGGAAGGCAAGATCAAGGAGAAGGAGTGGTGTGGTAACCGACCAGTCGACGTAGCGGGCCCAGAAAACTTGGCGGTAAACGTATTCTACGGTATCGGGAACGTGTTTGTTCCGAGTGTGGATGACTATTTGAGCAAAGGAGTTTCCGTCTCCGGTGGCCATGGCGAAGTAGGAGAGTGTTGCGAAGAGAGTGATAAATGTTGTGATGACATGGAAGAGTCGTTTTTGCTTAGGCAATTATTAGTAACTGCTTATATGAATTGTGATTGGTATACTTACAACTGGAACTCGCCATGCTAGACCGGTGAAGATGATAGTCGAGATAAGCATGAGAGCGAAGACGACCTGAATGAAGTATTAGTCCTGATCCCATCACAGAAGGATGAAACCGGTCACTTACCCAAAGAGTGGTATGTCCAACATCACCAAGAGTCTCATAGTAATCCGGAGTCGGTACGACAGTAGGAATTGGAGAGACATCTGTTGGTTTGGGAGAGAGTTCCGGAACAGGAGGAAGTCCTGTAGTTGGATACAGCGGGTTCTTGGTCTTGTAAACCCATTCCGGGCTGATGGCCTCTTGAATCATGATTTATGGATTGGTGTAGCTGTTGATGATATTATCTGGTGATGAATTGACGAGTCTGATGAAAGAAAAAACAAAAGAAGTGTAGAATGATGAGAGGGAATAGAAGAGGTAGTAGGAATGAGAAACCTTATGGATCAGGTAGAGCAGGAAGGAAAGAGGGGTAACACAGAGCAGATGACGCCTGTTAAGGAAAGCAAGGAAAGCACAACCCAGGAACCAGGAGCTGAGAGTGCAGGAACCGAGATGCAAGAAGAGGAAGGAAAAAGCAGCAAGAGAATGAAAATAGTCTCTTGCCCCCCGTTCAAGCTCTTCCCAGCTGCAGCTCATCGAATCAGCTCCCTCCTCTCGCTCCACTGTTCGACTCGCAGCAAATCACAGTACCACATGTACCAGTTCGCAGCACCATTTGCTACTACCAACCCAAGTCCACCTTGTCATTCTTTGACTAATATCTCGTTTCGGAGGTTTGGGAATGACCGTCTGCAGAAGGGATTGGATGGTTGAGCATGTAACACCAGCCACACATCCCCAATCCTTGGTCGAAGCCCACCTGCATGCTGTTATGATGATGTCGGCAAGAATCGAGAAACCGTCTATTGAGTTTCATCCTCTGTTCGGCAAGGCCTCTGATTCGATATCCTGTCTCTCCTCCATTGAGAAATGAGGGGTAACGCAGCTAGATCAAACAAAACCAGCCCCAAACCGTTCGTTCGTTGCGTCATGTATTTCCGCTGTCCATCTCGGATTGAGCTGTCGTCGTCAAATGACCCCCTGTGAGAGTGACGGAAGAGAAAAAAAAAAGTTATTATGCACTTACATACGCCAAGCCACTACTTCAAAATGCGGGGGAATACAAACCTTCTCCTCCCCAACCAACCTCAATGATCAAAGATGACCATTGACCCCCGTCGCCTTTCCTAAAGAAAATCACGTCTTAAATAATATAACCTCAACACCAAGCTTCGTTTCACTCGTCCCACAGCTGAAATTAAACACCATACCACCCTCTCGTCCCCATAAATCCAGGTACAAGTACTCTACCTCAGTACAACAAAATCTTTGCAATCCTATGTAGTCCAAACGGAAGTAACGCAGCATGGGCTGAAGATCATCATGTCTACTGTAAGTGGACTGACCGATCGTCATTGGGGTGGAACTGTGGCGTTATGTACAAGGATACTAGCTCGATGTCTGGGACTAGCTTCGGAGAGGAAAGCGGGGTGACACCGACGGTACTTGTACAGATGGGATTCCCAGATTCTCGATACGCGATGAAAATAAGCGTCAACGGAGAACTCGGACTTTTCGTTAATTGTAGTGGGTTGCGCGGCCATAGAAAGAAAACGAACGGGAATAGAAGGAGAGGAAAGAGGAAGAGGAAGAGGAAGAGGGATGGAGGATTAGGTAAGTTAACAGGTAGCTTGCTACAGTACATGGCTCGTACTATGTCTACAAAGACCCGAACAAAATCCCATTTCCCATGCAGGGCTATGGCGGAGAAGTAGCTCCCAGGGAAAGAGAGAAAAGGGTATAAAGGGAAAACTTGAAAACTCTCTACATATATAATTTCCTATAAATTACTAGTATCTACTTTAAACCCCCTTTATCTTATATTTCTATATCTAATTCTCTATCTCTATTTCTATCTATTGCTTATTACTTATTAACTATTCTATAAGTACTAACCCTTCTAATATTCCTTTATTTCTCTTCCTTTCCTACCTATCCCCCTACCTACCTCTGTACTAAACCCCCTACCTCCCCTCCTCTCCCCTCCCCCCTCCTCCCTACCCTTATAAAAAAAACGGTTATCGCTTAAAAAAAAACAGTTATTAAATCTTATAAAAAAAACCCTTTAAAAAAGAAGCTAAAAAAAAGAACACTAAAATAATTCTATCCCTCCTACTCTTACCCTATATACCTACTAACGTTCGGTAACTAGAATTCCATTCGATTCTAGAGGCCTCTTCTAGAAGGATTCTATTCTATTTAAGGATTTAGTAGAAGGATTTTATTCTAGAGGTATATATTCTATAGAATATATAGAATTTCTAGCTAGAATTCGTTATATAACCGTCGACTAATAGGAAGTCTCTAGGGCCCTATTTATATTAAATTAGATAATAAGTTATATTACGTAAATATTCCCCTAATATAGGGTACGAGTATTATAAAAACTCCTAGAGTTAATTATAAAGAAACGTATTAGGTACTATTATATCTGTTATGGTGGGGATCAAGGAATAGATTGTTCGCAAGGAGGGAAGAGAGACGCTCTTCGCACTCCTTAGGTATTTGTCTATCTACGGAAGGGTACACCCGCAACTTCGCTAAGCGAACCCTTATTCACTAAATCAAAAACTGTCACAATATCCTAGCTATTTACTTAACTCTCTAGGGCTATATAGCTCCTATAATCACGCGTATTAACTAGTCTAGAATTTCTAGAGTTTACTAATAGAAGGAATCTTTCTATTTTATATAAGCTTTAGAAGGATTCTGGGTAGAATAGAATAGAATAATTCCATGGAATATAGTTCTATATACCTGTCACGAATCACGTGATTACTTGACGAATGAAGACCAGGCGGCGCCCTGACAGGTCGAGCACTATCCGAGTAGTTATAGCAAATAGGGATGCTTAGACTAGCTAAGCGATCCAAGGATTTCCTTTGGTTACAGTCACATGATATATGTAGCTAGACGGGGCGACTAGTCTACCAGACTAGCAGCGACCGAGCGACGAGTCTAGCAAGATAGCACAAGAGAACGAAGGTTCTATATAAGACTGGCACGTCTGCCATTAGATAGGAGCTTCGTGCTCAACTTAGTTATCAATCTTATCATATTAGTTTGACATCTTTGATACAAGCAACGAGTTCACTTCCAAGTGAACACACGTCTGCCATTAGATAGGAGCTTCGTGCTCAACTTAGTTATCAATCTTATCATATTAGTTTGACATCTTTGATACAAGCAACGAGTTCACTTCCAAGTGAACTACCCGATAGTCTTCTTCTCATCATAGCATACCAACCAGCGAACACCCAGCCAAGTTTAGTTAGCCAGTTTGAGTATTCGTTACAATACCGAACGTTAATACCTATCTACCTACTAACTAACCTACTAACTTACTAACTAACCTACTAACTTACTAACTAACCTACTAACCTACTAACTAACCTATAAATATTCCTTCAAATCCTTCGAATCTTTCGAATAAAAAGAAATAAAGAGATATATAATATACTTAAGTACTTATACTATAACTTATAGGTACCTAATAATAAATACAAATATCAATACTATATAAGTATTCTAAATACCCTAAATAACCTACCTACCTACCTAACTTTTTTTTTTAAAAAAAAAAGATTAGATACCTAAGTACTTAGTAAATAAATAAATAAATAACGATTTAACCTATATAGTAGTAAGCTACCTACCTACTACGGTATCCCGAATCTACTACTAAACTAGATAACTTAATCGTAAATCGTAAATCGTAAAAGTTATATATTTACTACTACTATACTAGAGTACCTATACCCCTATACCCCTACCTTAGACTTTATATACCTAGGTATTTTTATATAGATACCCTAACTACCTATTCCCTTACTATCGTATCCTTACTCTTATACCCTTCCTCGCTATCGTACTCTCTATCGCTATCGTACCCTTACTATTATATAAGGGTTATACCCTAGTAAGTCGTTTAGAAGAGAGAGAGAGAGAGAGAGAGTAGCGGAGAGAATAGAAGCGGGGAAATATTTTTATATATATCGCTTATCCTAGCCTCGAATACTACCTTCCTAAAATAGCTAGGCTAGTATATATTACGCTAATAATTATTTACTATCTACTTTTCCTTACTCTCCCTTCTACTTACTCTTCTCTTTCTTCATAATAATAATAAGAGGGAATATAAGTATATTTATTAGCTAGAGGAGACCTTTGTTAGAGGGGGCGGGGTAAAATATAAGGGCGGGACGAGAAGTTAAAGGAGTATTCGAGTTATAGTTAAGGGTAGGAGAATTCGAGTTAAATTTAAGAGAAGGAGTATTTAAGTTAAATTTAAGCTTATTTACTTATATCGAGTAGTTTTACCTTTAATTCTAGCGCTAGTATATAACCCTAACCCTAAGCTACTTTACGATTTACGACTTACGATTTCCTATAAAATAACCTTAATAGTAACTTTTACGATTTGCGATTTAGTTATCTAGTTTCGGGATACCGTACCTACCTACCCAGCTATCTCGCCATCTTTTATATCAAAAAAAAAAAAAAAAAAAA